CAAGTCTTTTTAGTTCAGAGCAGAATTCAGAGGAACTGCTTTTCAGAAGGAAAAGTTTGAAATGAGCCAGTATTTCAGGGAACTGAACACTGGGATGTTTCACTGCCCCTTATGATCTGACCAAGAATCACTTTGAATAACTGGCTGAGTGAGAAGTTGATAAATTCTGGCCTTGCAGAACATGTCTTATTACTGAGTTTCTGTGGGTATTTTAAAGTAATCTGCATACGATCTGTTGTGCATTTATTTTCATGAAATGAATACTGCTTGGGAACCCTGCCCAAAATGAGGCTATCAATGGCAAAGGAAGTAATGCCAGATTAGTTATAATATTTCTGTGTGGAGATTTCCTATGTGCTCCCAATGTAGCCTGAAGGGACAGGGATGTTGAATTCAATTAGTTATTTTCATGGTGACATGTTTGGAGCTAATGTTAAGATGGCATTAACATAGTACAAAATATAGAGATTAAAAATTCCTTAATTTCATGGCTTTTGCCCCTTGAGAATGCCGTGGTCAAAATAATCTAGCATATAAAAAGAGTTTCAGAGGACTATTTCAGGAAGCAGGCATCTATGTTTACATTTTAACTTTCCTCCCTTTCTCCTCGACCAGTCAGTTTTTAAACAAATTGTACTATTTTGTCTGGCTTCACCAAACTTCATACTGCAGATAGGGCAGTTAAAAAAATAATAATTGAAAAAAAAATCCAATAGAGATGCTGCATTGTGGAACTTGTGGGCTCATTTCAGGCCTTCTGTTTGTGTTTCTTGATTCTCCCAGTTCCCAGATGTGCAGTGACTCATCCTACTGAACAATGGGAACAGCATCTCTTACTCCTTCTCTTACTCCCAGTTGGCAAAACTGTTACTCAGAGGATATGTCTTGCAGAGGGAGAGGAGATTAGCACTGAGAGGATGAGTCAGCCAGGCCTTTGTGGTAACTCTTGTGTGGGGAGAAGAAGCTCAGGACTAATGGTCTGTGCTCTGGTGCACTCAAAAGGACTGTCTGAATTATGTAAAATTCATAACTCAGAGGTCACTCTTCCCTGTGCAGGACAACGCTTGGACATCTTGATTTATAATCAAGGAGGATTAAAAAAAAAAACCAAAACCAGCTAAGCTGGTTTGTGTCAACAGCCACATACATGATGGTCATCTCAGGCTTTGCTGTTAAAACTTTCAAATGTGAAAATACTAATGGACTACTCGATAAAGATGAATTAAATAAGAAATATCAGTGCACGTGTGCTTCGCTGGCAGACTCTGCTGGGACTGTGACGCGATGGGGCTTCCTATCTAAGTACTGTGATGGGTGAAATTAAAAGTCTTTCAGATTTTAACGTTATTTATGAATATTGTTAGAATATATTTTAAAGGAAATAGTGTACTAACAGCAAAATACAACAAGATTTGAGTTTTATTAATTTCTGAAAAGCTCAACAACCTTCTATGAATGTCATTGATCTAAGGAAGTTTCTTGAGCTGCAACAGTTTTTCTCCCAACACCAGCCTGTCAAGGGTCTGACCTGGACCTTTTTTGTTTGTTTTTTTTAAGTGAACACACCACGAAGTGATTATATTTAGGTATTTACATTCAGTATAAATACACATATAGTGTATAAATAATATACATATAGTATAAATAACTTTGTGTGCTTTCTATTTTGCTACTTGCAAATGTGGCTTAAAATAGAGTGCGAGTTTAAAAATCTCTTTTTCACTAGAACTGTTAAAATACTGAAACTGGAGTCATCAATCTGCATAAAGATATTTTTAGTATCTGATGAATCAATTGCAAATATTTGCTGCCACTTTTATAGGAAGTCATGCTGGTGAACCAGAAATAACTAGCTAAGATCTGGAGAAGGAGAGCATTTGAAGTGCTAAGCCAGCTTTGAATGCAGCTGAATGGTCAGACAGATATTGGAGAAACACTAAGAATTTGCCCCAAAAGAGCCAAACCAGCTTCTTTATGGTCAGTGTCAAGAGAAAAAAATAATTCAACATGAGATGGGCAGCTGATACTTTATTTTGGTAATAATTTGCCTTGAATGGAAAATCTGCTTTGATTTATAAACTCTTTGTGGGTGTGTATTTTTATATACATACATATAAATATCCACAGACATTTGTATGGGTTTATAATACCTGAAGCACGAGGTAGCTTTGCATAAATAATAATTTATCAATGGCATTCAAAACTGCATTCAAGTGCACCTTGATGTAAAGCTAAATAAACTTGCCTTCTAGATCTGATTAATATTGCTGTCTATTTTCTCTGGATGCCAAGGAAAAATTGGAATAGAAAGGAATGTTCAGTTAGTATAATTGTTCTGATTAAAAATACTAACACAGAACAGTCGTAAAACCTGGAGTTTCCGTAATTTCCTCGTTTACATATGTTACAAGTTGCTCATCAAGTCAATGCTGAATCAGTTGTGTGTGCTGCCTGTGGATGAACTGAAATGCCCCACACACTTCCCAGAACATCCCAGTTTTCTGTGAATCTGACTAAGATGTAGGGCAAGGTTATTCCAGAAGCCTTTGGAGCGGGAACTGAATCCACCCTTCCGTAGGCCCTAACTCAGGACTTAATCAGGGGATCATTAAAGCAGCTTTTCAGTGTGTGCGGTGGGCTTGGGGTTGTTGTTGTTTTGGGAGCTTTTTGGCGGGTGGTTTTCCTCCCTTCATGTTTGTGTGCTTTAATGTTTTGAGCTTTTTTTAACTTCAGACCCTCTGGAGCTTGTTGGGGGTTTGTTGTTTTGACTGGAAACAGATATTTTGACTTAAGTACTTGGGTGTCTTTGAATTCTGTGCTAGAAGAGAATATTCAGGCACCTTCAGATCTGTCAGATCGTGCATATGGTGCTCACACCTGTTCCAGCAACCTGACTTGGTTACCCAGCTCTCCAAGTGTTTTGCAATTCCTGCTTAAAATTTCCCAGAGTTAATTAACTTGGCTTAATTGGAGCGTTAGGAAGAGCCGTGTAAGAAACTAGAGAAGCCTGCTTTCCCTAAATCCCTGCAAAAATGAACATTTTTTTCTTCATTAATCAGTTTATTTTCTTACCTTCTTATAAATGTGCACAATGTCCAAGTGATTGATGTGTGGGGTGGGAAATAGGGGAGGCAGAAGCTGTAAATCAGGTGATCCTGCCTGTGTGTCCCAGCAGTTTAAGGCATCCAGCTGTTTCCTGCTCCGCGTGGGAGGGTGGATGGACAGCAAGGCCTCTTAAAGCAACTGGGTTCCTGCTAGAAAATAGGAAGAAGCTGTATCAGAGATGGCCCCTTTGCAGTATTTTTGCACATCTAAAGACACTGTGTGGGACAGAGCACAATAGAGAGAGAAGGGGGTTTTTTGTAGCTTCAGTGATCTTTTCTTTTGGGGCTCTCCCATCTCCCAAACATGATTAATGCTGTACAGGAAGCCCTTTTCTCTTATTCATGCGGTCTGTGATATCTCTTCTGATCCACAGAGTGCCAAAAAATACAGGAAATTACTTTCACCTTATGAAAATTCATGATCGTAAGGAAGCTCTTAGAGCAATTGTTCTTTGGAAACTTTCCCCCCCCCCACTACCACTCTCTCAAAAAAAAAGATAATTTGTTCTGCTAGCAATCCACTGTAAATCTTTTGTTGATACATGGTAGTCTTTTTTGCAAATACTGTGTTCTCTCTCTTTTATGAAAAGACACTTTTAGTTTTAAATGTTAGGAAATAATCAGCTCCAGCTCCTTTTTGTCTGTGCCTTATGCTGGGAGTGTGTACTTGTGTGATACCCTGAATCCTCTGATCTCCAGTCTGATTCCTCACAATGAACTGTTGTCTTGGCATCTTTTTACAGTTGTACTGTAGGGGAATAATTCTGTTCTGCTGCCTCAAGCCCGTGGTGTCGAGGAGAAGGTGTGATTTAAGAATTTATATTGCTCTTGGAGTCTGAGCTGGTACTTGGAGAAAGTTCCATTCTGAATTAGTGACTTGGTGAGGGCATCTACGGTCAGTTTGGTCACTGCTGACACAACTGTGATAAAGAATTTGTTTTGCTGCCTAAAATTATTAAAAGGCAGCAGGATTTTTCATTTTATCACTCTCATTACATGGCTACAACTGCAAGACACATGTCCTGGACAATGAAGAATAATTTCTCACTGAACAGATCTTCATCTGAAGAAATGCAGGGGAAGTGTTTGAAGGAGAGTTTCACCCCAGAGCAGTCTGCACAAACCTCTTATGCAAGAGGAAATTTTCACACAAGAATACATTTTCCCTGTAAATGCTGCCTATTTCTTCTCAATATAACTGGTAAACTTTGTACAAGATGAGCAAATACATTGTTAAACTCTTGAGCCTAAAAGGGAAGCTGTCTGTAGAAGAACAAGTCCTTCAGAATGTTCCTTTTTTTCATGTGTTTTTGACAAGCAAGTCTAGCTTAAATCATCACAAATTGTGAGTGACTTAAATCTTTCTCTTTCCTGAAGATGTGCCACTCAGTCTAGGATATGCCTTTGTTAATTTTAAACAAAATACATTGGTTTCTTAGAAATGTGTTTCGTTTTACTCCCACTCAGTGTCAGTTAACTGCATTCATCTTACAAGGGGAAAAAACCCTAATTCTTTAAGTCAAAAAACTGACTTTAATGACACTTCCTTTTCATTGTGAAGATGTACTGGATAGATTTGAGCATTTATTCAAATCTCTACTCAACTTTGATCTCTCTAGACCTAATAGAGAACTGCATTTAGAAAAAATTCTGCCTTTCCTACACGTTAGTACTATATTATGGCAGCTCCACTTGCTTATCAGCACTTTGTGAATTAGGTTCTGTAATGCTTGTATTGTTCCAGCCCCTGAAGTGTATCGGGATGGTGTCCAAGCTTCCACTTGTGATGTTGCTCTGTTAGCCCTCAGTGCATGCTGGAAAGTGAAAAGGCCTTAGTTCAATTGGATTTGCTGTCCTAGAAACAAGCTTAGTTCCCATCTCTTTCCTTTTCCACAGGGTGAATCGGTGAAATACTTCCTGGATAACCTGGATCGCATCGGTCAGATGGTAAGACACCACCTTCCCTTTCTGAACCAGAGAGCTCAAAGAAGACAGTGGAAGCCTGGGTGTGCAATGATCATTGATTTTTGTTTGGGGTTTTTTGTTGTTTTTAAAATAATATTGTAGTAAATAACTCCAGTGTTCTTTCTCCAGAAATAGTAAACTTCAGCCTATGAAAGTGAAGCTTAGTATTTGCTTAATCGTTTTTGACAGATCGTGGAAGTTGTATTTATGCACATATTTTCTTTTATCAGCCCTTCTACACAGTCTCTGGATCTCATTCACTTTTCATGATGTGGCTGGTGCTACTTAAGGTAGCAGAACGGAACCTTAAAAGAATTAAAGACATTACTAGCATTTCTAGGATTCAAAATCCATAATGGAAACATCTGTCAGGAGACTTGGAAGGGAAAGAAGGAAGATGATTTTCCCAAATAGTAACAGTGATTAGCTGCTGAAGAACAAATCTCTCTACAGTGGTAGGTTGGACCACAACTTATGGTAGAATGTGTTGCTGTACTCACTGGTCATGGGGGTGTAAACCTGGAAGGAGTATTTCCACTAAAGCTTTTGAGATGGTCTTTTTAAGAGTAATAAACTGTGAAAAACTAGATTTTAAAAAAGAAAATCCTTTCTGTGATGACTTGGTGATCTGCTTTATTGAACACTAAGTGGAAATAACAAATAACACTAGCTAAGAATTTGATCATGAAAACATAGACTTCAGCCTGAAAACAAGAGGCTTGGAGGATAAAAATGTGAACAAGTGGATTAGTCCTATATTTTTATTGTATATGTCTCAGGGTCTTCTAGATGTTCACCAGTGTTGAGCTAAATGGTCAACAGTCCAGTATTTTAAAACTGAGTATTCATTGTTCACCTGATAATTTAAAAAGCATGGCTCCTGATGATTTTACTCATTACTTCAGTATTCTGGCCTTGGACAGCATTTTTGAAGAACTCCTTTTGACAGTTCTCTCCTTTCTTTTCCAGAATTACTTCCCCAGCAAACAAGATATTTTGCTGGCCAGAAAAGCCACGAAGGGGATCGTAGAGCATGATTTCATCATTAAAAAAATTCCTTTCAAGATGGTGGATGTAGGTGGACAGAGATCTCAGCGTCAGAAGTGGTTCCAGTGCTTTGATGGAATAACTTCCATTTTGTTCATGGTCTCCTCCAGCGAATACGATCAGGTTCTCATGGAAGACAGGCGCACAAACAGACTCGTGGAGTCCATGAATATCTTTGAGACAATAGTCAATAACAAGCTTTTCTTTAACGTTTCTATTATCCTATTCCTCAACAAGATGGATCTTCTCGTTGAGAAGGTAAAGACTGTCAGCATTAAGAAGTATTTCTCGGACTTCAAGGGCGACCCTCACAGGCTGGAGGACGTGCAGCGTTACCTGGTGCAGTGCTTCGACAGGAAGAGGAGGAACCGCTCCAAGCCGCTCTTCCACCACTTCACCACGGCCATAGACACGGAGAACATCCGCTTCGTGTTCCACGCCGTGAAGGACACCATCCTGCAGGAGAACCTGAAGGATATCATGTTGCAGTGAAGGAGAGCAGCCAGTGTTCTGTTACAATTTTGCTGGAGGGTTAGATCAAAGTTTTTATCCTTTCTTTATGGCCCTTGCATGCGGTGTAGGACCCATGCGAATTACTTGGCTCAGGAATGCTGTAAACTAGCCAGTCCAAACAGGAGCTATAGGCCGGAGGAGTCACATATTGATGTTAGCTACTGAATCATTTGGACTAGAAACACTACTGAACCCTGGCCATGGTAGGTTCTGTACCAATTTTGGGACGCTGAACAACACAACCACCTTCTGCCTTCTTAGAAAAAAAGAAATCTCTGACAAACCATGTATGGAAGACACATTGTTTTAAGTGAATATGCTCATTTTTCAGAGACACTAGTCGTACAAACTGCCTTTTTTTTTTTGTAGTTTGGAGGTGCTGAATCGATCAAACTAATCTAAACATAATGAGATTGGCAGCTGTATTGGAGAATGTTAATGGAAGTTCTGTTGTTAACCCTTAGGAATATAACCAGATCTTGTGTGCGTGTTCAGCTTTGCCAAGGGTCTACAGTCCACTTACCGAGGTGGATGCACAGCTCCTGTCTGAAGGTTTTGCCTGAGTCTCCTGAGGCAGAAATCTAAAGCTGTGTAAGGAAACTCGTTTTGGAGTGAATGGGATGGGAAGCTGAAGCCTTGCTGATATGGAGAAGGGTTTATTTTGCACTATAGGTGAAGGTTGTTCCATCATAGGAAAACTGATTTCCTTGGTGAAGCAGCCTGTGCTGGAGCACCCAACCACATATCTGCACAGTGGGTGCTCGAGTGAGATGTACTCCATGGAAACCCAGCACTGTTCTCACAGTGGGCAGCGTGTGTGAAGGTTCAGGATCTCGTGGGACAGGGCTTCATCTACACTCACAGGTTTGAAAGCTGATCAAACTCTTAAGCAAAGGTTTTGGTAGCACAGCAGCTGCTTGATTAGTCCCAACAGCTGACCTTATAGGAAGACTGAGCACCCTAGAGATCCCAGCTTTTCCAGCTGCACTGATGTGTTTGGACAGCAAGACCTTGCTGTAAAATTAGCCTTTAATCTGTGTCTTAATGGGATCTTTAGCCTATAGTAATGCACATGTAACTCTGAGCACAGCTGAGTTTGGAGTTGCCAGTTTTGGGCAGTGGTTTGTGTGTAAAATGGTAAGAGGCTGTGAATAATGTTGATCTGAACTCTGAATTTCCTTGTGCTCTCAATCTCTGTCAGGTGCCTTTTTTGTGTACAGACATTGAATCTTTTCTACTACAGTGGGGTACATGGGCAAACCGAAGATATTGTAGTGCTCTCCTTTAGGTAACTCTCAAACATAGTTTACTGTGCAATTTTTGTCATAGTTTTTATCCAAGAATAAAACCTGAAGGGCTGTTTGTACCCATAAAAAGTCAGCAGATTCCCTGGAGTTCTTATCCCCTTTGAGCCTGTAATGGCATGTCAAAACAAGCAATGTTTTACTTCAGCTGGTAATCCCATGGGAAATGTGGTCAAAGAAAAGTCCCGTTCCGTTGTCCTTTCATGTTAATTTGGATAAAATCTGGAATCTTTCTTCCCCTCTGAAGCTTGCAGATGTTCATATCAGTATTTTTGTGTAGTTGCCTGATGTAGCAGCCCCTTGGCTTTCTTTGTGCAGGCTCCAGAGTGGAAAAGCTGTGGCTGTGTCAGTGCTTGTAACTGGCACAGTCCTGAGGTAAGAAGCAACTGAAAAGTTGCAGATGGGAAAATCTAACTTAAATTTGAGCAAACTTAAACAGGAATTAGTTTCCTTGCAACAAGTCTTATTTTGCCAGGACCAACTTGTCTTTTTAAATATTTATTCATTTCTAACCTTGAAGGAGAATAATGTTGTGACTCTTAATATTCAGATGGGAGGAAAATCTTAAGATTATTACATTTGAAAAGGTAAATGTTCCAACACGGCGTGATGCAGACAAGTTTACTCATCGCATGAGGTTGGTTTCTCTAAGCCCATTTGTTTGGCTGAAGGCTAAGGCTGCTTTCAAAGCTGTCAGATGTTTTCTGAGTTCTTGGTAGTGGTTTTCACTTCACACAAGACACTGGGAAAGACAAGGCAGTTGTGGGCTGACCTGACTTCTAGGTTGACTTGACTTCAGTTCTTAGTTTGCTGTGAGCTTTATTCTTTCACTAAATTTTCCAGATGGGTTAATATTATGCTTGTTTTCTCAAATGAGTTAAACATTCCCTTTCAACTGTATTTTTTCTCAAGAATTACCTCAGTTTTTTTGTCTGAATCTACTGTAGTTTTATCTGGAGGCATAGCTTGGAATTTCCTGTTCTGTTTTTCTCTTGACACTCATCCATGGTTTTGTATCCTTGGTCACCTTACGGATTTAAAACTCTCAACAGAGCTAATAATGCAGCTTTTATTTTAAGTAACTTAAAATCTGCACCTGGAAAAGAAACAGCATGAGATATCTCATATTGAGCTCTCAAGCTTTTTTTTTGTTACGATATGGCAGTTTTGCACACTAAGTCAGGTTTAGGGAGCCAGTTTGCTCACCTTAGGCCCATTGTTGCCTTTCTTCTTTTTATTGATGGAATGGGCCTAAGTGAGGGGCCAGTCAGCAGTTTGGCTCTGTGGGCTCAGTGTTCTGTCAAATTTGGATAGTGATGGATCACAGTAGGAAACCAAGATCAGGAAACTCTTTTTGCAGAAGTCAAGCACTTTTCAAGTTTGCCAAGTTGGTGGCCCATGAGTAAAAAGGACGTGGGGGGATTTTTTAAGTGTCAGCTTTCTCTGCAAAATACACTCCACTTCTTGCCACAACTGAGGGTTTTGTGTTTGGGTTTTTTCAAGGTAAATTGTAGTATAGTAAAGCCAGAAAATCATGTTTTGGTAAATCAGTTAATTACTAAAGCAGAGCTTAGGTAGGAAGAAAAAAGCAGCTTTTTGCTGTCCCTCCTCTGCCACCCCAGGGTCAGTGACCAGTGATGGAGGTTGTCTCTCCTGAGGACAAAGAGAGGAAGTGCTTCCAGCATGTGCCTGTGGGAGAGACTTACATAATCTTGCAGTTTAAGTAGAAAAACTAACTAAATGGGAGTCATTTATCAAACACTACTTTATATTTGTTGTCCTCAAAACAGGCTTTAAGGTAATAGATGTGTCAGTCAGTCCCATTCCTTCAGATTGCAGTGCTGTCATTCTCTGAACAATTCTTGGATGCATTGCAAGGTGACACAGGGAATTGGAATTAAAAAGGAAGAATGGTTTTCTGGAAGTGACATATTTAATAGGCACTTGTCACTTCAAACAAATTAAGTGGTTCTTAATGTTTAAAATTAATGTTGTTTATGGAATTGAAGTTACTGGCCACTCAATTTTACAACTCAAAGATTCTTTCAGTTTGATACAAAGAATTGATCTTATTAAGCATGGCAGCATAGATTATTTGACTTATTATATTTGATATTTTTCAATTATTGCTGTGTAAAACCTAGAACTAGGCATGTTACAAGCGCAAAGGAGCTCCTGAAGATGATAATTTCCAGGCTTTCTGAGGCAGCTGAAGCCTCAGGCAGGCAGGCAGGCAGAGTGGAGAAACTAATAGCAAAGGAACTGTAGGGAGATGGAGTAGGAAGAACTCATTTGTCCATGGCACTGCAGACAAAAATGGAATTCCACCAGGAGAGCTAGAATATGGTATGAAAAACAGTGCATTTGAAAAGTGTGTCCCATCCTGCTGATGTGTTGTCCCCCCATCCCCATGGCCTCATGCCCCCAGGTATTCACCCATCCTGGTTACTGTGACCTGCAAAAAATTACGGAATTGAAGAAATTAAAGGAATAGAAACGGAACTGCTGGAGAAACCAGCAGCTTTCTTTAGTGAGCCACAGCTGCCTTCCACAGAACAGCATCTTAGAGAACAAGTCCTCAGCTGCCTTTGGATGGGTGTCTTTGTATTAACTATGTTTAAACTTACATTAACTTATGTTTTGGAGTCTTTTCTATGCATGTACCTCTTTACTTCTGGGAAAAAAAAGTTGTTCTGCTGCATGGACCTACAGGATTTCTGTAAAAGGCCCCTCTGATTTTCAAGTAGTGGGTTTTCACACCTGACTTAGCTTGGCTTGTGTCATCAAATTTTCAGGAGTACCTGCTGGATTGATGGATGATTTGATGCACACCAGCCTGAGAGACAAACATGATATGCAACAACACCTCCACACAGTGCAGTTTGTCTTGTCAGCCAAACCCTGATCTCTCATGACAAGAACTGTAAGTTTAGCTGTAGCCTCTTTTCTATATCCTTTTTCTAGTATAAAATCACGTGGTGTGGTCAGGGGTTTAATATAGCACTGCCAACTCTTTACCTCATACTCCAATTCTGTAACACAAAGTGGTGAGTGGGGGTGTTTCAGTAGCAACTATAAAACATCTGTGCCTACTTTTGTAAATGAGCTTTTAACAGTTTTTTTAGGGAGCATCCATTATGGATCAGGAAGACTGGCATGGTCTGGGCCAGACTTGGCCTGAGTTAATACTGACTCCCCACAGTTCTAGATGAGGACTGTCTAGCCTAGTGAGGAATAATTGGTAAGACAATACAAAACCTAGTGCTTTTTAATAATACCTGTTTTGTAATTAGCTGGAGTGATCTCTGCTTTGTGCTGTGAAGTGGGCACTTCTTTGTTTTAACACTAATCTTTTTTTACATAGATGGAAATGAGAAAAGCCAGGACATTTGAAGCTGAAACTGCTGCTGTGTTACCAGATGATGCTGTCCCTGTGCTCATCTTGGTGGTTGGGCAGCTCAGCTCGATTCTTGACATTTTTGTCTTTCTAATGGCATTTGGAAAGCGGTGTTGAAGTTTTGTCTGTGTGTCTATGCTTGTTTTCTTATGGGGTGGGGAGTGTGGAGGTACTAGATTGTCAGTGCTAGTGGTTCTGTGCCTGGCTTGAGGAACTGTGTCACAGCCCAGCTCTTGGCATTCATCTGAAAGTCGTATCTTCTGTCTGGTGTGAAAATACTCAGTCAGAGGGGGAAAAAAAGAGCAGCACTGACTTCCAAGGTGGGCATTCTGGTAAAAAAAGCCAAAGTATGTTGGAAGGGAGCAGGAGAGGGGAGCTAGTTTCTAAACAGATCCCAAAAGCTGATGGTGCTTGAAGACTGACTGTATTGAAGTGAAATGCCATCTGCACTGACCCAAAAGCTTTGAGTGACTCCAGAGAGCTATTGGCTGTGAATTAAGAACAGCAGGCTGGCAAGGCTGGCCCTGCCATTGTAAATCTCTCTTCATCTGTTCATAACTGGGTGCTAAAACTCAATTTTTACTAAAATACACTATGCAGATCTCTGGCCAGACAGTGCATCTTACTCCTTCCTGACAGCTTCTTAAACTTTCTTCAAGTACCAGAGCATGAGAAGGTAAGAGACCTGGGTAAGAGGCTGTTTCCATTATTTGAATAAAAACTACATGTGATGGAGAGCATGAGATGGAGAGCAACATTTTTTAAGAACTAGGACCTGAGAGAGCATCTTTTGAGGGAAGTGACAGATTTGGAGTGGTGTGGATTCTCTGCCGGTCCTTCCCGTCAATCTCTTGTGCTGAGCTCGTGTGCAGGTGGTTGGGCACAAAGGCTGAGAGGAGACAGAAGGGAAGAAGGGGGATGTGGAAGAGAAGTGATCTGTTGGGAGCTCATGAGACTTGGAAAGGTGGTTGATGGACTAAGGTTTGGAAATGTGTGTTCAAACTCCCGTTTGCATTGAAGCCATTAACTCTCCGTAGGATAACGAGCGTCCCTCCAGTGAACAGCTCCTGTTACCTGGAATGTGGAATGAGCTTGAGTTGTTGATACACATTAAAAAGTATTTCTGGAGACTGTGCTGAACATGGCTAGTGTTTCTTGCTCTAGGGATGAGTTGTCTTGTTTGTGGAACCAATATGTACGAAAGCAAACTGACAAAACACCAGGTTATCTCGTGACATGACCACGTAGCTTAGGAAGCCAAGTAATGTTATCTTCTATTCTGCAATGTACTTGCTCTCTGGTGCCTATGCATTAACACACATACTATGCAATATCAGTCTTTTTTTAAACCAGTTCACTGCATTGGGCAACAAAGGCCTGAGTTTAGCCTTAATTTTCTAAACAATTCACAGGAAAGTACTTAAAAAACAGCGACAAACTAAAAGAAGGTGAAAAATGCATGAAGTAAAAGCACAGTTCCAGACTGCTCACATAAGTGTCTTTCTAGCACCAAAACAGCATCTGTGATAGAAGCAGCTACTTGCTGTAATAGTTTCAACTTATGAAAACTGTGTACTAGATAAAATTATATTGTGATGTGTAAAAAGTGTATTTTATAGCTTTGGTGACTTAGTTTACTGTTTTGTATATATGAATTTTATAAATCTATTAAAACTTGACTTGTTATACTGTTCTTTATGGGTTTTATCTTTTCACCAGAGTCTGAAGTGACATTTTTTGCTTTATTCAAAAATTTTCTGCGAGAGAAATGCTTTTGGAATAAATTACAGCATGGAACTACAACTGTCATGCAATGAAATCTCTGTGTAATCTCTAGGTATCTCCCACCTCTCCACTTCTAGGCTGAGTCATTCTTCCTGTGTCCAGGAGCTAAGGCTGATGAGACATTAACCTGTATAGAACTTGTAACTCATTCTCTGTAGTGTTCCAGGAGCTGATTCTGGGGCATTAGCACTGATGGGAAGTGGGAGGGGGGACACAGCTGGAGTTTGCTTATGCATTTGAAGCTCAGCAAGAGAAGATAGTTAAGCCTGTGGAGTTGGCAGCACCTGTTAGAGATTCCTCTCTGCTGTGCAGCATCTGGTAATAAACAGCCATGGGAACTGGACTTGCTGCTTTCCCAGTGCCAGTCCACTCTTTTGGGCTCACTTGTGTGCCCTGGTACCTTGTGCAGCACTGCAGAACCATTGACCTTTGGGGAGTCACCAGTGTCCCTGTCACATGGCAGTGCCATCCTGTGCCAGCTAATGCTGCCAGAACTCGAGCTGCAGTTCTTAGGAATGCTGTTCACCTTTCCTCCCTTGTACTTGGAAAGGTCATGTCTGGCAGACTTTCGTGGCAAGTCTTAGTTGTTTCTTGTGTGAACTGTTAATGCCAGATCAGTTCCACTGGCAGGGGCACAATTGAGGATACTTCATGGAGTGTTGTTTGTCCTCTTTACTGATCACTGGAAATACAGTTTGGGAATGATTGTCTCTTTGTCCCTGGAGTTGATGAGTACTTTCAGGTAACTTGTGTTGTCAGTGTTCAGCATCTCTGAAAGTGAGGGCAGATGAATTGCAAACTCAGGGTGCACTAATAGGAGGTTTCCAGGTGTGAACACATACTTGGGAATCTGGAAAGCTCTCAGCAACAGCAGCAGCTCCACATGATCTCCTTGGTCAGCTCTGCAAAGGCAAATTGGCCCTTTTCAGAGGGCCAAAATACTCTTGTGAGGTGTACCTTTCGTAGCTGCACAGATGTTGTTCCATGAGAGCAGAGGCTGAAGCAGTTGGTTCTGCAGGTAGGTTTGCTCACAGTGCCAGTGAATGTCTGTACCCCAGGGAGAGCCTAAACTCCATATATTAACTTGGAATTCTCTTTCCCAGATCAGCACAACTACCTGTTACTTGAGCATCTCTTCTGTAATTTCAATAATCCAACACTCAGAAGATAAAAGGGAAAACATGTCTGTTTCCCCAGGGAGAGGCTTCTCTAAAATGCAAAGTATAGCTTGTATTTTTCCTCCAGTGCACAAGGTGGAAGGTTTGGGGAGGTCATAGTAATATTTAAGTGTTTGTTAGAACTCTTTGAGAAGAGAAATTAAATCCTTGTGGTTTCTAGCTCCAGCCTGGTATCTCATTATCCTGTACAGATCTGGGAGGAAGTTTGCTCAGTTATTAATATCAAATTTCTTGCCACTTTTCCCAAGGCTGGCTGGCATCTTGGGAAGCCGCGTGGTGTTAAGGGAGACTTATGAGGAAAAGTGTCCAGGGATTTTTACAAAAGATAGCTTTCCTTTAAAGCCTCAACTCTGCAGAGCAGAAACAGACTTCAGTAAAAAGTACCATTTTTAGGGGAGGGAGGTAGTCACAGCCACTGTTAAATCACAAAGTGCTGGATACTGATAATGAAATCTGTGTGGAAGATGCTGGTTTCTCCTCTCCCACCTTTCCAAGCTGTTGTAGGCAAATTCACCCCCAACTAGTAAAGACTCTGGGGGTATTTGTTGGTATTTTTTCCTGTGGACAGTTGTGTTGTATCCCCACTCTTTAGTTACAGCAAGTTCTTGTTTTCAGAGTAGGAGTGGAATGTTCTGCCTGTTTATTCTTGGGAGAAGATATTTGTCTTTATGAGCTCGTAAAGCTATTAAAAGACTGTTTTCTGCTCTCTTCGGGATTACAGACTTTAGAAGTTGCTTCAAAACAAGTCTCCTTGAGCTTGGGGCAGAAGGGGTGTGTCTGAGCTGCTTTGATGGTGGAGGATGCTCTAGGTAGCCACAGGATGGTGTGGTTTGGGAGATGTTCTGAGCCAGAGGAGTCTGACACGAGTCCGTGTTGTGCCATTGCCTTGGAGATTGTTACATGAAAACCAACAGCAGCTTCAGGCAGGAGGTCCCTGGTTCTGCTGGGGGAACAACACCCAGGTCTGCTGCCTGCTGCCTGCCACACAGGGAAACTATTCCTGGACCTTCTGTAGCCAACTCCAGTCCTGGCTGCTGAGCTGCAAGTGGCTTCTGGGTGTGCACTTATATATAGAGTACCCTCCTCCTTGCTAATGGTTGATCCACAGCTTGACCTTCTAAAGTGACTCCTAATTATCTCATCTGTATTTCAGTTCCACAGCTTACTCAGCAGCTTATTAACTGCAAGTTATGCTGCCGTTCCCACAGCTTTCCAAGTAGAAGTATCTCCCCAGAAACCTGCTGCTTAAAATGCAGGAAATCTTATTTAGGGGCTTATCTGGAAGTTGTTTTACTACTTATTCCTCTGTCAGCTGTTTTCTGCCCCCCTACAACTCTGGCATGTGCAGAGAAGAGTAGGAATTGTGCCTTTGAACTTTACTTCTGGTTATAACCTTTGTTTTCTGTGTAACCTTGGCCAGTCCTTTTATGCCTCTGAGACCCAGGTTGCCTCCAGTCCTTACTCATATGGTGTAGTGTAGTCCAGGTGCAAAGTACTACTTAGAGACCCGGTGCTGTAATTTACAGCAGCACCTCTGGAAACCTTTGCTGGTGTGAAGAGTAGCTGCCTCCATGGGAATGAGTGTCTTTGCATGACCAAACCCTGCAGTGTTATTGCAGGAACCCCTCTGCTCCAGCTGCCTGAGGCTTAAAAGGGTTTTCAGTCACTTTTCTGCCTTTCACTGCAAAGCTGCCTCTGGGCTGTGGACCCTGCTGAGCTGCCCAGGTGAAGCTCTGAGTTGCCATGCTCGTTTGCTTCTTATCTGGAGCACTTCTGGACAAGCTGAGCAGGTAAGTGATGATTCTGTCAGTGATGGTGTCAAAAATATTGGTTATTGGTCAGCAACAGCTCTTGAGCAGAAATTCCTGCTCTCACAGCAGCACTAAGGTGGGTCGGTAAGTGAAGTGTCACAGGGAGTTTCCCACCTGTGACTTCTGCCAGCAGGTCATTTGTTTCTGTGCCACCCCTGTCCTCTTTGTCTTTGGACTTTTATGATAGAAAGCTGCCCCTTTCCCTTAGGCAGGACTATTATCCTGAGTTTACGGCCTCTTTCTGGAAAGTTTCTAAAGTTCAGCCTCATAACTCAGTACAGAACAAGCGAGGCTGAACAGAAAGCAATCTCGCGCTTAAAATAGTAAATCTGTCAAGGCAACAACCGAGCAAGTGCGGGGGCAGCGCATGGATTTGTAATTCAAGCAGGGTTTGTTTGGAAAATTTCTGCTGCTGGGAAGAATGTCTTGGATGAGAAGCCCCATCACCTTTGCGGCTGCCAGGAGAGGGCGGCAGCAGCGGCCCCGCGCCTGCGCCCGTCCAGGCTCAGCCTGGAAAAATGCTTCCAGGAATTGCCGTCATCAGCCCCGAAGCCAAACTCCCTTTCTCTCCCTGCATGAATCATGCGGATGTGAAGTGCTTGTGTTTCCGGAATCCAGCTGAATTTATTACAGGATCATCTCTTCCACTCACCTGCATGCGTAAATCTCAAGCGTTTCTCAGATGCATCCCAGTGATCCTCTTCCCTAAAATTGTACTGCGGGGTTTGTGCGTGGTTGGAGGCCCTTAAAGTGCACAAGGCAAGTGCTCAGGAAAGCCAAAGTCATCACTCCTTGGAGAGAAACATCCTCTCCTCCCTCCCAGCTGTGCTGGACCTGGTCCTACCTGCTGGTATTTTTAGACTGGAGAAATCTGAAGTGTAGCCGTGAGCTCTGGGAGTGTTATCAGTGCTGGGAGAACTGGGCATGGAGAGGGTCAGCCTTCCCCTGGTGTTCTGCGGTTACAAAGCAAAAAACCCATCGGCCTCTTGAGCTCTGGCTATAAATAGCCCCAGGGAACAGCGTGCCCTGGCAATGGGAAGGCAGGCTCTGCACTCCCACTGCTAGCACAGCACCCGTTCCTGCTCAGGGGGTGACTTAGGGAGCAGAGAAGGCCAAAGGGTAACTTCTGAAGGTAAAAAAAAAGAGGAATGCACATGCAGTTCCCCCTTTTAAGTTAACAGTCAATGAGTGGGTGAATGTTTCCAAAGGTTTCCTCTCCTCTGCCAATCTACGGAGGATGTGAGTAGTTCCAGCTCACAGTCCAAGCCTGGCTTTGTTTGGAGTGAAGCAGCTCTGGAGATCCCCTTGAGAGTCGGCCAAAAGACAGTCTTCACACTGACACTGCTCTTTGTGGCAGCTGATCCCAGTGCCAGGGATCTCTCTGCTTTACTCACTGACTCTGTGCCCGTCCTTCTCCATCTCTCCCCCCTGACTCATAGCGAGAGTCCATCAGCCTTGGTTGTGCTCCTGTGCTCGGCACAACCTCCAGCTCATGGGGCCAGAGCAGAGATGAGCATTTGGAGTGGGGAGAAAGGAGAGGGAGGAATATCATCTGTGCCTGGGACTGAAGTGCTAAGCAGAGGAGAGCTCTGCATGCGGGAGAGCTGCCCGGGTTTAACTTGCATCTGTTTGGTCAGATGGCCCAAGCTTCTAGGTGAGCATGTTCAGTGCTTAGTGTGGACCTGGCTGACCTCTTCCTGGCCAACTTCAGACCAAGTGAAACACAGCAAGAAAATACAAGCTTGGTGTGGGTTTGGGGTCGTGTCAGTTAGCCCAGCACAGGAAAAACCCTTAGCGAAGAACTGATCACATCAAAACTGTGGTAGCAATCTCAGAAAACAAAACACCTTTTATTCCTGTGGGGAGTTGCTGTTTCTCTCTGACAGCAATAACTTGGGGTTAGGAAGGTTGTAAGCGGGG